TGCCCAACCCTTAGAGAGAGGAAAGTGATCAGCTAAATCAACAAAAAATATATTTTATTAAAATATTAATCAAAATTCAGGTCTCTGATATTAAAAGTTTTTGAAAAAGAATAATATTAATAATATTAATCAACCAAATGATATAATAATAGTCACCAACCAAACGATACCTTATCAGAATGGAAAAGCTGTGTCCTTCAGAAATTGATTCATCGATTCAGAAGTTAACTGTTCCTAAATAAGGTTCAAATTTCGAGAAAAAAATTTAGATCTCGCCAGAAATTGGATCAACTAGTGATTTTAAGATTATTCTTCATTACTAAATGAAAATGATGATTGAAAAACGAAAAACTAAAATCTGAATTTGCTTTAAAAAGCAATCAAAAATATGGAAAAAAGATGGTAAGAAAGCCATGTTTTTAGCCGGTAGTATATTGAAAAAGCAGAAAATATTCGGTTGAGGATATGTTAAAAAAACTTAAAGGCTGGCTGAAAGCAACGAAAATATTCCTTCTTTCCACAATTAAATCGTGAATATCTAGATTTAGTCAACAACATAAAAAGCAAGCAGCCGACAATGCAACTTCTATGGTGCTAATTGCTGCACTACGGGCTGAAATTTCAAGGTTTAATTAAAAGATCAAGAGCACAAATTGAAAAAAAAAGAGTATTAAATTATATTTTATACTTTTAGATGTTGTTGTAAACGTTATGGGAAATGAAAATAATGAAAGCAACGAAGAAAATGTTTATTATATAAGTGATTAGACAATTCAGGTAGTGAGCAATATAGACTCAACAAACCAACTTATGGAATCATTTAAATTTATAGAAGCAGTTGCTAAACAAATCTAGATTCATTTGAGGTTCTTAAAGAAGCTTCTACAAAATCAAGTGCATTTTCATTGCCCAATAAAAGTTCATTAATTTATTCTAGTGATTCAACTTTACGAAATAAAAAGACATGCGAATAAATTTGCTGTGACTAGTTTGAAAAATCACATCATTTTTCCCATTACAAGCATCAGGAATTGTTTCGTCATCATCATCAATAATACTAACGGTATATCTTCCTCTCCAATAATGATCTTAATATCATATCTATCTTTTGATGTGGTAAATTCTGATAATAATATTTATTAATGATGAATACTCCAATTTATATATTTATCTATAACTTTGGAGAATAAAATTTCGCATAAATAATTTTTGGTTTTTATTATTATTATGTATGTTTTTGTTTAAAATGTAAATTCTTTACTCCATGTAGAAACAATTTGAGTATCAAGAATTGTGTCAGATTTAATTGATGGGGGTGGTGTGGTAAAATAAGGTATTTTACCAGAATTCCAATCTTGTAAAACTAATTTTGCTGCAGATTCAAGATCTGGAATACCGCCACGTTTCAATCTGCCAGTTTGACGAGCAACAAATATAAGAAATTCATCTGTATCCTTAAATATTGGAACATTGTATCGAGCCATAAGTTGTTTAGAAAACCTGGAAACAATCAATTCAACTGGTATATAGATACATACATGTGTGTACATGTGTGCGTGTGTAAATTTACATATTAAGTGTTAATAATAGAATCATAATAAAATAAATAAATCATAATTTCTAATTACCAGGTGGAATTGGATTATCCAATAATTCAATTTTAATAAAATTTCTTAACAATATTTCCTCATACTTATTTTTTTTTGATCGATCATTATTAGTAAACACAATGCCAGGACAATCCAACAATTTTATATTTTTATCAAGGTGAATTTCTTGCATTGATTTGGTGGAACCCGGACTAGCACCGACACCACAAACTTTAGCCCTCTTTAACGAATTTATCAATGAAGATTTTCCAACATTAGGAAACCCAATTACTCCAACAGTAATTGAAGTTTTAATATCTAAATTTCGAGAATAATTTTTTAATAACTTGACAAGCGCATCAGCTCCTAAACATTCATTATTGTATTTTAAATTATTGTTGTTGTTGTTGTCTAAAGTTAGGTTAACAGATTTAGATGATTGACCAAGGTTTTTACGTTGTGTTTGTGTAGATGACTTGAATGCAATAGTTGGATATTCTTTACGAAGATATTCCAACCATTGAGCAAGGTTTTTCTGTGGAACTAAATCTATAATAAAAAAGATAATGTAGAAATATATTTAATCATTGTTTGTAGACATCTATAATGACAATATTAATATATATATATATATGTACATACATATATATATACACATACATATTTCCTTTACATACCTATTTTATTCAAAACTAAAATAATTTTTTTTGTAGAGACATTATTAATAATCATTTCTTCAATTTCTTTTGCTCTACATCCTAATGGATCACGAGCATCCAAAACTTCTAATATAACGTCGGCAGCATCAATTACACTACGCAATGCTTTATAATAAGCTTTTTGTGTATTATCTTTTTTACCGATTGCGGCTGCATCAAGCAACGTTGACACTCCATCTTCTTCCACTGCTACCAACTCCTCTGCTTCATCTTCTTCATTTCCTCCATCTTCATCTTCTTCTATTATCATTTTATCATCAATTTCTAAATCACCATTATCAAAAACTTCATTACGCTTAGATGCATCTTCAGCAATTGATGAAAAACCTAAATTACGGTTTTTATTGAATAAAGTATTGCGTGCTATTTTTTGTCGTGTTTTTTCATCTTCTAACTGGATTATTAGAGTTAGAGTTAGAATTTTAAGTAGAGACCATTAATAATATAGAAAAGCAAAATTTATATGAAATGCTTTTGTACCTTTTTTTTATGCTGTTCGATTTTATTCAAGAGCTGATCTTTTAAAGGCCATAAGTTTGGAATTCCGGGATCTTTTTTTAATTCTTTAAAAAAAAATTTTATTTATTTATTTGTTATATAGATTATTCTATATAAAAAGAATATATAAATAATTGAAAATATATATTACTATGTTTTTTAGGATTATTTTTAGCCTCTTTTCTTTCTTTTCTTCGATGTTCGGCAATGTTGTGCTCAATTTTGTAACGTCTAGAACAAGTCATACGTTTACTTTTAGCCTCTACCATTAAAAATATATATTTATATTTATTAATAATTCAACTTTTCCTTAGATAAATATTTATATTTATTATATATATATATATATATTTAAAATTCTCTCTTACTTTTTCGAACCATTATTTATTTTTAAAAAAAATTTAGGAAAAAAGATTTTTATCTAAATATTAATATTAATCTATGATTTACCGTTTAATCATGTGACATGGTTACTAATTAAAATAATTTTTTTTTTTTAATCTTTAATTTGGGTGACATATCAGGAACATGAGGTAAATTGATTAATAATATTCCATTTTTTCAATTAAATAAATATATTTATTATTATATACAATTATTATTAAGAGAAATAATAATAAAAATCTTGATTTTTAAATAATTTCCGAATTCTTTATATCGTCTATATGGTAAAAATATTAATTCATTCATCTTAAATCAACCACAGTTAAATCAAATTTTTCCATTACTACATGCCCACAATTTGATATTTCCTATGTAATAATAATATTATTGTTATCACCATAATAACAGATAGAAAATTTAATTTATCAAAAAACACTTACTACATCGATTTCTTCACTAGAATCATGTGGATGAAAACCTCTCTTTTCGCATTGAAGCACAGTTTGTAACCCTGGTGGATTAGTTAAACGAAATATTCCAATACTGCAATTATTAAAAAAAGATTAATTAGGAATAATATATGTGTATTTTTTTTATCAATAAAAAAATTCCAACAGTAGGAAAAAACACAAACTTTGGTGATTTATTTGGAGCGCACACAATTGCTATTGCTTCAGGTAATATTAGCTGATAGGCAGAATGTGTATGTAAATCCATTGAACTCATAAAACAAGTTTGTGTTGGATGAGTCTAATAAATATGTATAATATATTTTAAATTAATATATAAGATTAATTTTGAAGTTTCATTATTCATTATTCATTATCAATTTTTTATTTACATGTATCCATCCGAGCATTAATAAGTCAGTTTCTTCAATATATTCCAATAATTCTTCTTCATTTGTCATTGAACATGTATCGGATGTGGCTGTTTGTTTTGGAATCACTAGTGAAGTCACTGTGAAATAATTGTGCGACTATTAAATATATATGTGCGTGTGTATATATTAATATCATTATTACTTGCAATTTTTTTAAAAACGTAGGATATATTTTAGTACCAATCTTCCACATAAAACACCACAAGTTTCTAAATTTTTTGCGGTATTTGAAGCTGCTATCTGTATAAACTTATCATATATGTTAATTGGCATAATCATTGTCCTTAATCCTTCTCCGCCCTCTGTAAAAGCAAAATACTCTAAAAAGAGATTTTTTAATTAAGTAATTTTTATAAGAAAAATAGATGTACTAATTAATAAGAAATATTAATAATACATACCAGGTACATTCTCTTTAATAGGTCTTTCAGGTAAATATTCATTAGAACTATATTTATTTCTAGGTTCAGGCATAGGCATTACTGAAGATTTGGGCGGTGAATGTGTCGGTGATATACGTGTTGGTGATAAATCATTAAAATATTTGTTCGGTTTAGGTGGTAATTTAGGTTGTTCTTCTTTAATTTTTGGTGGTATTAGCGGATGAACATTATCAAAAGTGGAGACAGGGTAAGTATATCTATGGTATATATATAATTGGATATATAAATATATTTAATATATATACATATATAAAATATAGCAATTTCGATTTTTGATTTTTACCCATCGCTTTGATTTTTGTATGAAATACCAGGATAATTCACTTGATGCTTTCAAAATATTAACAATAATGATAATTAAAATTTTTTTGTGTATTGAAGATAAATAAATTTGATTATTATTAAAAATAATAAATATTTAATAATTACTTCTTGATGATGATGATGATTTGTTTTCTGATCATAAACACTTTTAATCAATATATATATATATATATCGTTACTCATATTATTTATGCAAAATAAGTGACAATGACAATCTAAATAGAATAGTATCTTACAAAGAATCAGCTGGAACAATGTCTTTTAATTCATTGATTAAATCCCAGTTTGGATGATTTTTGTAAGCTCCAATATCTGTTTTATTGTTAATCGGCAGAGGAACTGCTCTATCACTAATCGGCAGAGGAACTGCTCTATCATTAATCGGCGGAGGCACTGTTTTGTCATTAACCGGCAGAGGAATTGCTCTATCATCAATTTGCCTTAAATTAATTTGCTGCTGCTCTTCTTGTTTTAGTTGTTGTTGCCTTTGCATTCTATTATAATGTTCAGATGTTTTAAGAACTTTTGAATGATCTATTGCATGTTCTCCCTTCGATGCTTCTGCTTCCAATTGACGAAAATGATTATCTAAAATCGGTTTCATATTTTGAATTTCTGTCAAGACTAAATTAGCATTCTACCATAATTATTCATAAAAAAATAAGTTTCCATTTTTTAAAATAATGTCAATATGAAAACTGATCAATTTTTTTTTTTTTGATTTTTTACTTTTGCTAATTCTTGTCTTCCTGCCTTATGTTCTGGTTTTTTGTAGTCTGTATGTTGGGGTAATTTTTCTAAGGCTAGCCTTTATATATGTGCATTTAAAACACACATAAATATAAACATAATATAAAATGAACATGACTAAAAATTGTATAAAATTTTAAAAAAAACCATACGTGGCATATCGCATATACAATTTATATGCCTTAATCAGATCATTTTCTTCTTTATAACGTTTTGCCTGAATATACAAGTAAGTTATTTTATTAAATCTAAAAACAAAGTCCTATTTGCTTTTTAATAATTTTAAAACTACATATATACTAAAAATTTTATTAAAACCTGTCTTAACAAGGAATTAGCAGAACGAAAGTAGATTTTTAAGGCTCCACCAGGTATAAATTCAACTCGTGAGGCCTCTTCTACTAGACGTTTCATTGATTCAGTGGATTCAAAAGACATTTTGATAAAACTATTTGTAGATTAAAGAAATAAAGATTAACAAAGGTGATATGAATACGTCACGCTTCTGTTAGATGGGTGATATGTAAATAATTATAAATGGTTGTACTCCCAAACATGCGTATATTAATCTATAGTTAGCTCAATCTAAAGACCTCCTAAATTTGTGCAAATTTTAAAAGTATCGAAGTCATTTTCCGTCCCACCTTTTATGATAGAATAGGTCTTTAGTTATAATGTAATAGAGAGATTTTCTCAAAAAAATTATTTGTTGTAGAGTTTCTATTCTTTTTTAAAACGTGTACTTTACTATATATTACTATGTTCATGCGCTAGGATCATCGCTAAATTTAGACTAGTTTCGATATCCTTACTAAATTTAGACTAATACTCGACCGTCATATCTAAATTTGGCAGTAAGGAAAATAATCTTTCGACCAAAATAATGTGAAGACCCTTTCATCGTGTTCTTTCTAAATTCACTATAACTATCTACATCTGCCATTGTTATAATCGAAAAGTCAAATTCAAATGAGACAATTGGCTGTTGGTTGTAATAACATTTTGGTGTTAGATGAAATGCCATCTCGATTTTTTCTGATGATATATGCGATCCTTACCAAACAATACTCAAATAAAAAATACTCAAAAACAAAGAGGAGGAATCGTTGGTTTACACGTGTTTTGCTTATTCTAAATCTTTTTTTATTCCTTCACGTCTGGTATTTGCTTTGTTTTCTTTATTTCTTTAATTAATTACATTCATGATACATACATGTGCGTTTCTATATATCTATTTAAAGTTCCCTCGCTCAAGAAAAAATATGGTACTTAATCATTATTATCGTTCAAATGTAAATTTAGCATCGAAGTTTTAAAGCAATTGAATTGGGTCACGTTGGATGCATAAAACACATTGTAAATGAATCCTCTGATACACGATCAAACTATATTATTATATAATCATCCTCCTTTTTTTTTACTATAAATTTAATAAATAATTTGTATACTTGGACCTTCTTTGTGACATAATAATAATGTTCACTTTGGTCTGTTTTCTTGAGCATGCCCCATTATTATTATATGCATATATTTATAATTAAAGGATTAATTATTCCTAATATGCTATTATTGAACCAAAAAAATTCAAGTAAATATTTCGAACATTGTATGGATTACTTTGATGATAAAAATAAATTAAAGGCAATCATTAACTATTGGTAGAGTAATACTTCATATACAAGCACTAAAAAATATTATTTTCTTACAAAACAATTCAATCTTATTGTTATTTATGATTTTTGATAAGTAGGATCTCGTTTATTTTTTATTATTAAAAAAGTAATAAAAATAAATCAAAAAAATATAACAGCAATAAATAAATAAATAACCATACCAAACTAGGAAATTACCAAACTAATTTACTAAGATTGCAAAAGTAAAGAAAACAAATAATCAGGTGATGATAATACTACCTTTTTTCGTTTACCAAAATTCTTGTGGAAATCCATTAAATTCAGCAATTTCATCCACTTTACCACCTGCTGATGTTTGATAAACAATTCTAAGTCTTAATCTTACATTTGTCTATATGATATTATAAATATATATTAAAAACCATAATTATTTGAACAAAATAATATGTATGTATGTATGTATGTATGTATTTAGTAAGACAGACCTTTGCAGGATTCATAACACGAATTAATTGAGTTGCTGATGAACCAGGTATAATTGTTGTTGCGGAAGGTGGTTGCATTTGTAATTTTTGAGTCTATATAATTTCCCCCAAAAAGAACATTTATCAAATTTAATATCTAAAATAAAAATTAAAGCAAACAGAAAAACAACATACTTTAGGAACAGCAGCTTGGAACAAAAGATTTTGAACAGACGATCCCACTCCAACGTTCAAAAACGTAACCAAAATATCAAGAAGATTTGGGTTGTCAATATTTTTAGATGGTTTTAATGTAATCTTAAAACCATTTTTGTTATAGGCCACATATGGATCTAGATATTTATATAATATACAATACCATTATGATATTGATATTTTTGTTAGAATTAATGAATAATATTATAATAAGTGATCGTAGTAAAAATAATCATTATCATCAATATTATTAATGTAATCACCTGGACTACCAAGTTCTGTTGTGATAAATGCATCTATACCACCAAGTCCACCAATATTACTACTACTACTAGTAGTAGTAGTAGAGCTAACAGGTTTAACAGACGATATCGTTGATTTAATAGATTGCGAAGCAATATTTGACGTATTACTTCCTAATCCTAGTAAGCTATCCAAAGGATCTATTAAAGATGATGATAATTGTGGCTGTTGTTGTTGTTGAATTATATTTTTTTGTGATGATATTGTTGTCGTAGGTTGTTGAATATTAAATAAATTCATAATATCATCTTTTGTTGGTGCTGTTGATGATGTTGTAGTAGTGGTAGTGGTAGATGATGACGAAAAGATATCAGCCAAAACATCAGCTGTATTTTGAGATGTTGATGGCATAGTTGTTTGCTTATTACTACCACTATCAACTACTTCACTTTCAAAATCTAAAAGAATCTATAAAGGTGAAAAAATTTTTTTAGCAAATATAATAATCAAAATAGTATAAATATATATATATATAATAATACTGTAGCGAGAAATACTAACATCACCACTATTTGTTCCACTTCCACTACCATTATTCTCATCAGATATTATGTCATAAACTAAACAATTCCAAAATTAATAAAAATGAATCAATAAATAAAAAATATTATCCAAAAAAAAATATGTGCGCAAATTAATAATACCTGGACGTGAAGTGGAAGATTCTTCTTTATAATCAGGTACAGGCATTCTTTCAAGTACGGCAGATCGAATATTATCAAAATCAAATAGGTTAGTATATTCAACAGAACGTTGTTGTATCTCAACTTCTATACTGGATTTGTATCTTTCAATTATATATTTAATGGTTTGGATGACAGATGAATTTGTGAAACGTGATGTTAATTTCATCAACGCTGTTAACGAATATTCTCTGGTGATTTGATTTGCATATGGTCCAGCTAAAATTGATTCAATCAAAGTAATAACATCAGGCTCTGTTACCTGTATTTAAAAAATTCCCATATTAAAATTATTCAATAAATTTTTAGAAAAAATAAAATAAATGCCATTTTTAACGATACAAACAAAATAAAAATTACGCTACCTCTTTTACTAGTCCTTCTTCTTCAAAATTACCACCTTTAATCAATACATCACCATACTCCCCAATTATCCAAACACCAGCTAATGTTAGTGATTCCTATACAATATCAAAATTTAAGATTTTTTTCGAATGTTTTAATTATTATTGTTGTTATTATTATTTACCTGAGAAATATCATCTTTTAAATCAGAATATAGTCTCTGTACAGTATAGGCATGCAATTCTGATGTATGAGCGACAAGTCGAATGAAATTTGATAGTATCTCTTCACGGACATAATTACCTGCCTATATCATTAAAAATTCAAAAAATTTTTAAAATCTCTCATAAAAATATATAATTACTATTGGAATAAAGGTAATATCAACATACTAATTTCAATACTCGTAATACTGTATCAATATGCCACCTTTTATTAGGAGCAAATCTAAAATATAATAATAATAATTTTATTTTTAGTTTCAATTTATTTTGGAAGTAAACTTATTTAATTTTTACCTATCAGTAGCCAAACAAATCTTTGTGGTCATGCCTTGTTTAAATTCATTATCAGCCACCTCCAAAAATGCCAACAACTCACGAGTTAAAACTCTAACATTTGACTCATTAATTAATGCAAAAGCTAACTCTAATGCACGCCTTCTAATTGAAATATCAGCATCACGTAAACAATCAAGTATTATATTTCTATGTCGTTGCACTGCATTAGTATCTAATGTCACTGTTTTATTTAATGTAGTAAGAGCGACATATCTAAAATAAAATAAAATAATTAATCAACAATCCAATAAAATTTTATTGTCTGCGTACATAATAGAATTTTTTTTTACCTAATATTATTATCTTTATTTGTCAAAAATTTTCCTAGGATGTTTATTGCTAAGACACGTAGACCACTCTCCGATTGAATTTCCATGATAGTTAATACAGTCTCATATAAAATTGCATTCCCAGCATTTTTTGATGACTCGGTATTTGTTGCAACCTAAATAGTTTGCACGTATTGTTAAATAAATTAATGGTCATTAATTCATTTATTAATTAAAATGACAACAGTAATAATAATAACAATAATAATAATAATAATAATAAGAAAACATAAAAAACCTGTGCCAAAACATCATTCATTGTCTCGCTAGCTTCAGAATCACCATTACCCAAAATTCTTAAAAGCTTTAATATTTTAATTTGTAAAAATGGATCAGCCACACCACCAACATCATGCTCAGGAGAAAATCCAACAGAAACCAAAGTTTTCAAATGTCGAACCAACAATGGAACTGCCTAGTAACAATATTAAAATTATGTATAATCAACATTGATTTAAATATATAGATATGTAAATTAATCATTAATTACTTAATCAATTAACTATAAACCTTGCGAAATGTTTGTAAAGCTTCTGAATTGATTGAACACATTTCTATTATAAGAGTTATGGCGGTAAGCAAAACTCCATGATTTCTATCGTTTAGGAGGGATTTTGCTTTTGATATAAAATTTTCTTGCAATTCAGGGACTTTACGAATAATACGCATTGCGCATAACGCTGCCTTTTTTAAAAAATTAACAATGAATTAATATATATAACGGAAGGAAAACTTTATAATCATCGAAAAAAACATTATTCGTATAAACCTTTTTTCTAATATAAGTATTGAAGTTGCTCAATAATTTCTCAACTTCAGCGCATAAATCACGTGCCATTTCTGGTGATGATATATTACCCAAAGTACATAAAGCTAATCCTACAACATACATATTTGCATGGTTCATATCACTAAAAAAAAACAATTAAAAAAGTTAAGATAATATATATATATATATATTATATATATATTGTAATATCAAAAAAAATTTATTATTATTACTTTTTCAAAGAATTAGTAACCAAAGTCAATACTTCTTGATTCTCATCCAATAAAAGCATTATTCCCAAATATCCGAGCCTTTTATCTGCAAATCTGTTTGAAGCAACCAGTTTTAAACATTCTATTTGACCAAAGTGAGCTGGATAACCCAACATATGAATGTAAAGTAGTTTTGCCACATTTGAATGTCGTGCATCATTATTTTCTTCTTTAAAACTTGTACGTATTGCTGCTGACTCTTTTTGTATGACAGTTCGTTCATCAGCTGCAGTCTTACAGGCACGAATGGCCTTTATGAGATCTATAATAATAATAATAATAAATATGATAATGATAATTTCAGACAGTAAAGTTTGTATTTGATGAGATGATTGTTAATTTCATTTTTACTAGTGTGTAAATTTGCTAAAGCATATAATGATCAATCAATCTAACAAGATGTTTTGTTCTCTCAGCAAATTTTATTACCCTTAAGACGATAATATGGCATAATTTTGATGATGAATCAAAAAATTTTTTTGCACATGATTAATTTGAATTGTGTAACAAATTATTTACAAAACGTTATGTTTGCATTTCTCTTTTTATAACTAATCAATCTAATGTTAGCCATATCCGATAAAGCATCTGAACCAGTGGCTTTTTTTCTTTTTCCATTTCTGCATACTCGTCCGTCACTAATTGTCCTCGTCAAATTAGCAAAATCAGTTTTGGGGATTTTCTCGAATAATAAATTTCATAATCCCTTTGGGGAATAGATTGGTTGCTATAGTAACACTATACTATTTTGTATATTTTGTGCTCGCATCCTTTTTTTTTATTTATATGCAATATTTTAAAATTTTTGCTTTGGTAAAAAAATAATAAATACAAATATTTAATAATAATAAAATAAAATAACAACGTTTTATATTTTTTTTTTATGTAGAAAAATCATCTTCTATTAATAAATCAATTTGATGGGAATCTAAAAAAAAATATGTTGACGTCAACTTTTGAACTGTTAAAAAAATCAATTGATAATTAAAAATTTGATACTAATTACCATTATTGTTACCAACATTTAGAACATGATTTGAATTTACAGGTTCTGGAAGGTTTGTGTAATGTAGTATGCTACTGGTGTAGACAGCATTTGGATGAATTGTTGCTGTGATTCTTGAAGGACCGAAATCCATCCTATCCATACTTTCAAAAATTTGTCTAATTGAAACCAATTCATCAAGCTCTTCTTTAGAATAACCATGACCATTTACATAAACTGAACTAAGATCGTCCTCAAACGAATCTTTCCAAAACCAAATAATTTTCTTAACTTCACTAGCGGTTGGACGTTGATTAGGGTCAGCATCCATGCACCTATATGCTAACTCAATATAATTTTTGGGAGTATTGCTTGAAAATCCAGGCCTTACTCCTTCACAAATTTTTATTGCAAGATCTGTGTCATGTGCAACATTACTGAACGGTTGCTGTTTCGTTGATATCACTGACATTATTACTCCAAAGCTATAAATATCAGATTTCGGTGTGTACAGTGCACCATTTAATACTTCTGGTGCAATATACGTTAATACACCAATTGTAGCAGTTTCGCCTGATATTGGTCTGTAATCAGCCGGAACTGATAACCCCAAATCCGAAATACACGAGCGTATTTTATTATCGTACTTTTGAATAAGGATATTGCCACTATGAAAATCATGATGAATGAGATTATTGTCGTGAATGGCCGATAAACCGAAAATGATATCATACAGCAAATTCACTTTATGCTTCCAATTTAAATTCCTAGATTCTCTTATTATGTAATCACAAAGACTCCCACTTTCAAAATATTTCATTACAAAAACGTATTCATTTGTTTCTGGATCTTGTGTTAACCCGTAGGTCCTAACTACACCCACTCTAGTATGAAGTTTTGTATAATTTTTGAACTAAAAAAAATAAATTTAAAAGTGTTTATTTATATTTTAAACTATATCTAAAAACTTAACAACATAATATACCTCTTGCAAAAAATCATCTGTAATGTTTTGCGACTCATGTAGTCTTTTTAAAGCGACAATTGTATCTACACAACATCTCTTATTTTCTTCTCCAATATATTTAAGACCATTGGTCCATTTAGCTTTATATACAGTTGCAAATCCACCTTGACCTATCTTCTCAATATCTGTTAAACTATTATATGGAATCCATTCAAGATAATAAATACTACCATACTGTGTTGCTTTAAGTTGTGAACTTTTGATCAACTCGTCTATTGCTTCGTTACCACTGGTCCAGCCTCGAGTTAATAATTGTGGATCACATGATTGACACCATGAATAATTAGTATTATATCTATTACATGTTGAACATCTGCCATGTTTTTCTTTTCTTTCATTAGAATATTCGTCTTCCATCTTCAAAAATATTTCAAAATATTTGAAGAATGAAAATCCCAAGCTACACATTATTTAAGAATCCATGGACAACTTAACACAAAACCCTCTATCTTTTATTTATTATTATTTGCGTGATCAAAATAAAAAACTTGAATGTTGTTTGTTGTTGTTACCTGAATACCTGAATGATGGACAATTACTCTAATTTAATTCATTATCTATTATCTATTTTTATTTATTTATTTATTGCATTCAATCTTAATTTAGTTAATTATTTATGAATATCACCGATTTTTTAGAGGTCAATAATTTTTTAAATGACGTGATTAGTTCGAACGATAGTATTAGTACGAAAAGGGGAAAGTTGAACTGGGTGGTATTGTATAAGTGGATTTGGTAAATGTTGTGCAAGCAAACGTTGTTAATGGTAGACCTACATTTGGAAGTCTAGGGAGATATATAGATGGAAAAAAAAAATTTTTAGTCAAATAGGGGGGGGGGGGCTTTACGAATTCTTAAATTCTTGAAGATTAAGGAATCTTCAGTTACCTACCCGGCCCACCCACGTAAACAAGAAAAAATGGTCAGGACGGTGGAAGAAAATATTTAATATGACCTTTTGTTTTCCTGTGCTCTCCTTCGGGGAATTGTTTATATTTCGATGGTGATGTTAAAGTTATGTGTATTTGATACTATTGTGATAATAGTTCATTCATTTTTTCAATATTGTGCAAATGGAATTTTAGGTTTTATTTTTAATTTCCTTTTTTTATGCTTCCCAACGCCAATCAGGTTTTTTTACGAGGCGCGTAATAACAAATCTAATGTTTTAGGATCTTTATGTCATTCAACTGATAATCGATGACTTCCAACTTCTTCCTTATTTGGATAGAGCAGTTTAAAATTAATGGATTTAGTACGTATTAGTATATAAAAGACAGCGCCTGGTTATTGTCCGTTTGTTATTGTTCGACAAAATTTTACATGCATCAATATTACATTCACCACCTGAAAAAGAATCACCATTCTAAAGAATAATAAAGACAAAATAGGAAGGTGGTAAAGTAATCTTGATTTTTTTTTATAAAGTGAAAAAAATCTATCATCTTATCCACATTATCATCGTAATACGCCTGTGTCTTATGATATTCAAGTTTATAAATACAAAATAGGAAAATTCTTTGCAAAGCGAAATATAAAGAAGTTCATTATAAAGACAAAACAGGTTAAATGATATCAAGATATTTGCAATGCGAAATTCATATAAAAACTTTATTATAATCTTATCATACTTGCTTTTGTAATAATAAAAATAATAATCACTAATTAATATGGGTTTAAAAAATTTATATTCAGGTTTAAAAAATCCTCCTAAATGGGTACACATGTTGAAAACCCATATTCTCTGACCCTCGACGACCTGAATAAATTCGACTTCAGGAAGTACAACAATTTACAAGAAGTCGAAGTAGCCGATCGAAATCTGAATCAATGCCAAAAATTCGGAGAGCTTCTCCAAAAAGTCCATGCTCTGACAAAAGAAAATAAAATCGAGTTGGGACTTCGTCTTATTCACAGACATATATCTATAGAAGAAGAAGGGAAGGCGATGATAGAAAAATTTTGTCATTTTAATAATAGGCCTGCGTTTATCACTTCAGCCAGTTTCGTGGATGAAAAGACTTACCCTGCAAGCTGGCTGATCGAAAAAGATAAATATTATGTTTACGAGTACTCAGAAGACACCCATGTCAAAAAGACGCTCGATGAAATAGTTAAAGATTCTTCTGTTTTAGAGAAAATTGTTCAGCTTATTAAGCAATATAACTTGGAATCGCTTATTGCACCTTGTATTCATGCAAGAGACGCTTTGGTTCATTTTAACAAAAATGAAAGTCTTGTCGAAACGACATATTCTAGTCCTTCAGCCAGTGTTGTTCAAAACGGCAAAACGGGTGATGCAGCGAATATCACCACTTTATGGGGTGGACCCATTACTCAAGCGTGTTTAGGGATGATTCAATGCGAGAGGGAAGGAGAGATTCATATTAAATGGGAATCCCACGAGAGAAGACACGATTCTTTGTAATGGAGTTATCAGCTCTATTCTATTTTCTTTCATTATTATATCAACATCTATGATTCACTATGATTCATTATTACTTTTTTATTTTATATTTTGGAAGTTTTTATAATCTTAACTTATCCAATATTATTATTATTAACCATTATTATAATTTATTTTATACTATTTATTTTATTATATTCTTTCCACTTCATTATATCATATTTTTCCTTTTTGTGAATTAGGAGAATTTAGAGTTCACAGTTCAGATTTTTTCAAAGATAGTCTTTTTTAAAGATTTAAAGATCCTTTTATTGTTACCGTAAATTCGATGAATTACTGGAAATACAAATCTGATTTTTAAATAATGGTGATATATACTTTCGAACTCAGCATTAAGTTTTTCTTCTGGCATAGGATTCTATGGAAGGAAGTTTAGGAAATTTGAATTTTATATTGAAGATTAAACTTGTTTTTCTGTTAGGTGTTAAAATCTGATTTTCCAAATGATTAATGAATTAATTATGATTATTATTAATGTATTTCTTTTTATTATTATAATTTAACAAATTACTAAATAACTAAATAAGACATATATATCTATGTTACTATAATATATTACTATGTACTATATTACTATTTACCTATTTACTAGTCTTTACTATTTACTATTTCTTACTATTTACACTTACAACTTATAACAAGATTTCTTTTTACATTCATTCTCTTATCATGTTACGATTATCAATATCAATAAAAGAAAATTTTCTATAAATAAAAAAAATCTTTGTTTACTTTGAAAACATTTATAGTGTAATAATGGTGATAGATTTATTGTACAGAGAGCCAGTGATGCTAAATCTGAATCATTTAGATTTTAAAATTTTTCAATTATAAAAGCTCCAGAATATCATAAATAAAATTTCTTAGATTTGTAATAGATGATTATGAAAAATAGATAAATAATGTAACGCGAACTCAATATTATTAGGATTATTCATAAATTATTTTATTGTGTGTGTTGTTGATTAAGTT